TATTATCATTATAGTACGCCATATAAAGAGCAAACATATTTATTAAATGCCATGTTTTGAGTCTTCGGTTAGGTTGTTTTTTTCAATCAGATATGGTGGATAAAAGTAATTAAATATGAAAAAGCTAATTGTCTATCACTAACACAACCGAATTCATCATTAATCTTTTATATTAGCTATTGAATGAGAAGCTTAGTTAAAAAGATCTAGTTGTGAGCTCCTACAGCAAAATTATGCAATTTTGTAAGAATCGGAAAATTGTCGATAATTAATGATTATACAAAGAAACATAAAATTGCCACAAGGAAGTGTCTTTGGACAGGAATATATATATCCACTTTGACTGAAGTCATGATATATCTCACGACACCGACAAGTCACACCGACATACACATGTGACGACGGTTCTGTTTTGAGAGAGACACTGTTATTTATTTACCTTTGTATTCATGGTTTTACTAGTGGCAGATGAATTGTAGTACAAAAATTGACTGCCATGGGATACACAGGTCCTGTTTGTAGAGCGGGAGGGTGGGTGGGGGGGGGAGTGGGGGAGTTCTTATTGTGAGATCGACTGTCCAATTGTGACATTGTGCCCTTGATTAATGGTCAAGATATGCCTTCTAATGCGGTGGTCTCCAACCTTTTTCATTCTATTTTATTATCTCTATGGCCCCGTTTAGTGACTGCCATCTTTTCATATTCATTCATTACTAGTTATGAATAGTGTAATGTTGTCAATTGTGATAGGACAAGAGCGCTTCATGGAAAAATATATTTTTTTTATGTGACACAAAATTATATATAGGCATTGTAAATGACATAAAATTAATTTAAATTCGACGTCAAAAAAATCCCATTGCTCCATGGCCCCTAGAAAACACCCCGTGGCCTCTAGGTTGGGAACCCCTGTTCTTATGGTTCAAATTCAGTTTAGCGAAATTTGCTTCGCCCGGTCCTTTTAAGTCCTATCTCGTTTCAGCGATTTAGAACTGTGTCCGTTGGCCATGGAGCTTCTATGCCAAGTCACCCGGGTCCATCACGCATCGGCTGGCTATTTCTAAATCCGTTTTGGCATGGTTGACTGCAAATATGCACATTATACATATATTGATTTTGATCACTATGGACAGGATAGGTGACTGGAGAAAGGCACATCATTTTTTTTTATCATTGCGTTAGTAGATATTGAGATATCGAACCTCAAAATGTCTGCCTTTTCCGCAGATAAGAGATGTAATATCCTCCGCAGCGTATCTTTTCATTTCTGCTACGAACGTTGGTATTATACCCGCCTATCTTTAGTCCTAAGATTTTTTCTTGTATGGTTGTGTTTAACGCTTTAGAAAGAACAATGGTATTTACCTCCATAATTTTACTGATCTGTGTTTCAAAGAAAATATGCTCTGGGTTAACCAGAAGGCTATTGCGAAGTCATCTACTGACTGCCTCTTCGCTTTTCTCAATTTCCTTTCGTCTTTTGCCCTGAGGTTGTTTTAACCACCGTTGTCCATTTCTGAAAAGAGCTGCACTTCATTTTCAATGCTCGTTGAAGGGATGAACTGTGCCCCGTTAGTAAAGGCAACTCCATGGGAATTCGTAGGCCACGATATGACCTGAATTTTTAGTCCAGCCTCTTATCAACAATACTATTTCCCAACACGCGTTATGTTGTGAATATATATGCAAATAATGCTTATATCGCTGTAGACACGAAAACTATTTTAAGGCCTCATATTAGTACATGAAATTCCATCTTCATTAGCAGACTTTTTTTCCTGATCTTTATTAGCCATCGCTTACGTGTGCCAAATATTAAATAAATAACAGATCTAGGAGAAATTTACGCTGAATGTTTCACTGATTTTTTTCTATAGCATTATGTAAATGTTGTTGATTTTTTAAGGCAACGAAAGGACTAAGGTAACACAGATATCAATATTAAAAACGATATATCGTTCAACAAACATGTGGCTACATGAACTACCATTCCTTGGAAAACCCAGGAAATTGCCCGTGCTGTAAAGAAGAGAGAGAATAAAGACCGGATATGCGCCGACATTTCTACCGAAAAGACAAGGGATAAGAAATTTGATAAAGGTAACAAAGTGATAACCAAGCTCTAGAGAATGGACATGTCAGGGGCATAGTTAGGGAGGACCCAGGGTGTAGCTAGGAAACGCAGGCACGGTAGAAGGGCAGCGGAGAAGGGAGGAAAAGGGGGAGGTTTACATGGTATCAGTAGCGATAGGGCAAGCCAGGTAGACCCCCGAATTCTATCGGAATGTACAATCTTATCTCTCTTATCTTTATCTTCAACGGGATTATGCGTTGTCCATTTAAGCAGATCGTAAAATGGAGGAACTTGTCCATAATAGTGAAAATCAGGCGTTGATGCATTGTCAGATCACCTTTATTAGATTTTGATCAGTCTAAACTTATACCGTGTACGCCCGGAACTAGTCAGGTTACAAAATAGTATATAAAGTACTCGTTAAAT